CTCTCTCTCTCTCTCTCTCTCTCTCTCTCTCTCTCTCTCTCTCTCTCTCTCTCTCTCTCTCTCTGTGTTTGTCTGTCTGTCTGTCCGTCCGTGCCTTTATGTCTTTCTGCCTGTCTCTCTCTCGCTCCCTCCCTGTCTGTCGGTCTGTCGGTCTGTCTGTCTGTCAAGCTGTCTCTTTCTCTCACCCCCCCTCTCTCTCAGGACAGCCATCTCCCTGTCTCTCATGGGACAGCCCTCTGTCTCTCTCGGTGTCTCCCCGTCTCTGTCTGTCTGTTTGTCGCCTCTCTCTCTCTCTCTCTCTCACACACACACACACACACACACACACACACACACACACACAGAGGACAGCCCTCTCTCTCACCCTCTCGCCCCCTCCCTGTTTGCCTGTCTGTCTGCTTCTCTCTCTCTTCTCTCTCTCTCTCACACACACACACACACACATGTACACGCAGAGGACAGCCCTCTCTTTCTCTCTCCCTCTCTCAGAGGACAGCCCTCTTTCTGTCTCTCTCTCTCTCTCAGGACAGCTCTCTCTATCCCCCCCCCCCCCCCCTTTGCTCTCCTTCTCTCTCTCCCTGTTACGGTGTTACCCTGTTCTCTCCTTGGCTCCATATCTCCATCCCTGTGCCCCCCAAGTCGCTTCCCAACTTCCATCTTTCTGTCTCTTTCCTTTTCTGTCTCCCTCTCTCTTCTTCTGTCTCCAAAGAACGCCTCCGCCCTCCTGCCCTCTGTCTCTCTGTTTCCCTGTTTCCCTGTTTCCCTGTTTCTCGGTCCTTCTCTCTGCCCCTCTCTTCATTCCCCAGGCGCCCCCCACCATCTTTATCGCTTCCGTTTCTGCCTCTTGATCTATTTGCCTGTCTCCGTATTTCCAGCTACAAGGTGGACAGGTGCGGCTGATTATTTTCTCTTTCACATTTTGCGATGCCCTCTTTCTGTTTTCCTTTCCCTCTCTCATGAAAGTGTACTTGGGATTTCGTTGTGTCATGATGTATGCATATATATCGTCAAACAGAACTGCCCGGTAAACCGTACGCAGAGAGGGAGACGAGGACAACAAACTGTAGACTGTATACAGGGTTCAGCCTCCTTATGAGTCGGTGAGACAGCCCCTCGTTCGTTGTTTTTTTCTCTCTTTCTGCCCACGGTTCACTTGGCAGCTCTCTACTCTGTTTGCTGATATATATCTATCATCATGTATATATATCATCGTATACATATATCATCATAGAGAGCTGCCCATATATATAATATATATCTGTTCCGAATACACATAAACAAAAACCATAGCACTGCCAACGTATCCTGCATAAATACAAGGAGGATGTATAGCCAATACGGAGTCTTGTAGAACAGGGTTGAATTCTTTTCCCGAATCAGTGCTTAAAAAGGTCAAATAAAAAAAAAAGGAGAGAAAAATAAAGCAATCCATTTGTATCATAAGAGGAGCACCAGTCTTCGATGTGTGTTCAAAAACAAAAGGAAAAAACATACAGACTCAGTATCCAACACCATCATAAGAGACTACCTTCATGGTTCGACCTATTCGTAAACAGAACTGCCCGGTAAACCGTAGGCAGAGAGGAAGACGAGGACAACGAAGGAGGGGTTGTTATAAACCGTTCCCTCGGCAGAGAGGGAGGAGAGGACAACAAAGGAGGGACTGTGAGAAACTGTTCCCTAGTTTCACCGACTCATCACGAGGCTGAACCCTCTGCAGTCTGCAGAGCCCCCTAACTGTGACACTATATATCTATATCTATTTATTGTCACATTGTGAATCAGAGCGCAGAAGCGAAAAATAAAAATAAAAATAAATATATATATCACAAAGATGTCAGAGCGCAAAAACTGAAAAATCAATTCATTTTTAATCTTCTTACTTACAACTCCCCCTGTTCAAAACCTCTTGCGTACAAGGCCGCCCACGTGGATGTAGGTTGAGCGGCGGCTGCCCCCACCCCCGTGTGTCATGTCGACCCACTTGCACACAACCAAAGGGCTATATCTATGTATATCGCCAAACAGAGCTGCCCGGCAAACCGTAGGCAGAGAGGGAGAAGAGGACAACAAACGAGGGGCTGTGACAAACTGTTTCGTCGTCGGAGTTTCATCGACTGACTCATCAGGAGGCTGAAGCCTCAACAGTCTGCAGAATCCCCTAACTGATTACGCTGTAAGTGATAATGCACCTTAACCCCGATTGTGTTTAAGCATCAACGACCGCCCGACAACTGATACTCCTCTGAGGTGGTGGGGACCACCAACCACTGCCCTCAAGGTACCTGTGACGAAAATCAAAACAGGCTATCACTCACTCACACCAGATGGAAAACTCTACAGACTGTCGGTTCACAACCCCCCATCACAAGCCACCAAAACACCCACGAAACAAAGAAAGGTCTGTCACAGCCAAAAAATACGCTCCAGACACGCCGCTGGCACTAGAGGCACAGCATGGCCGCGTAGTGACGGCCGTGACCACTGCTGCTCGACCTGACCAAAAGCTGGGCATCCCTCTCCACATTTTCTTAACTTGTTTGGTTCCTCTCTTCATGATACTATCATCTCGCCATACTCCTCTCTTAGGCAGACATAGCTGCGCTGGCCGTTCGTGTATAATGTATAGCCTGTGATTAGATGGAAAAACGGCAGTGGGAACGAGTGCTGATGTGGGGGCGTGAAATACTAATGGGTCAGTGATTGGAAGGATGCTGGGCTCACATTTCTTCATTGTTTGTTTTGATCTGTGTCTATAGTTTTCTTCTTTTTCTTTTTTTAATAACAGAAAAAAGATGCCCTTCGGGCATCCCTTAAATTTGGAACGATGCAGAGGAGATTAGCATGGCCCCTGTGCTAAGGATGACGCATATAAATCGAGAAATGGTTCAAAACAAAACCAGAAAAGTTGGGGTAAGCTACTGATGTGGTTATGTCTGTTGGGATTTGAGTCTTCGTTTCTTCATTGTTTGTTCTGATCTCTGTCTATAGTTTTCCTCTTTTTTTTTTTTCTTTTTTTTTTCCCTTCCCAAAAACACAAAGCCCCATCTATTCTGGGGGGCATCAGTCCGGTTGCTTATCACCGGCAAGCATGGGTTCCAGTGAGATAGTTGCAGGAATGGAAATCAGCCAAGCCCTTGCGGTACTAGTCGCCTGTCAAGGGGGGGACTGCTACAGGCCATCCCACCTCCCAAACCATAGCCTTCCCTGGGATGCTTCTGCTGGCCGGGAAGCTTACTAGCAGCACCCAGA